ACCCTCAAATCTCTCACACTACCATTCAAAATCATCAACACACGAGAAATCAAAGCAAACGTCGATCGAATAGGGTTGCTCCGCTCAAGAAATCAACTCCCTGCCTCGCCATTTTCGTCCTCATTTCACCACTTGCCATTCCCCCACCAGTCACGCCATTGTCCTTTCTGCCACCAATTTGTGATATGATTCTTCTTCATCGCCATTTCTAACATTGATCACTTTGTCGCTAATCTGTTATATCTTGAGAAGTAACATCTCTAACCTTTATTCTTTAACATTAAAACCTTTTATAAACCCTAGTTTTAGAATAATATCATTGGATTATTTGCTTCTGATTTCTGATTTATAAACAATAGCTTTTGAGATGAATGCATTCCTTGTTTTGTTATAATAGTTTCTGATTTTGCTTTGTTTTCTTTGTAGTTTCAACTTAATAGGACATACCCTAATTAGAATGGCCACATAAAGAACAATGAAAATTTTCAGTTACTTAGATTTGTATTGAGTTTGTTTTAACCTCACTCCTTTGATAATTTCCTATTTTCCTAAAAGTCGGAGGATACATAAGGGCAAGATATCTCAAGTGATCTATGATTCATCCATCCTAGGTTTATTTGCTTCTTAGTGTTTGAAGATGAATGTGCCAAATCAAGAATTTTGTCCTAATCCTCATCAAAACCTATATAATTAGTTTGACAAATGAATACATGTATGTAAACCATTCTCTGTTAATATCTCTAAATTAACTACAAGATGCATCAAACTATAAAACTTTAGCCTACCAAACTGGAGTAAGATAATATCAAACAGGAGTACTACATGCATGTATTGGTAAGTTTGTCACAATTGCTAGCTAGTAATACTATCTAATCAATTCATTTTGATTTTTTTTATTTACAAATATGAGAAATGATACAATAATATGCAATACAGGCATTGCTTAATCTATTGCCTGAAAGTAATTATTTGGAAACTAAATAAATCGTTTTCATTGTCATAGTTTGTGATATGTTGATGACTTAAATGCTTACGCTTAATAATTAAACTTGATTTGTCATGAATTCTTGCATCATCTTCAACAAATCCATCTTATATAATATAGCAGGATTTAGATGAAAACATAATTGTTGTACTTGTAACTTGTAAGTTACAGTTTGAAACATTTGCATCCAAGATTTTCAGCAAGAAAAAGGTCAACGTTATAAAAGATTATCCACTGTGTCATTAATCCCAACTAACACATTGTTGTATCTTTCTGTGTTGGTTGTCCACCATACCACCACTTTGTCCACTTTGTTTTCCTTCTTAAACTCCATGTTTAAAATTAAAAAGTTCAAACTTTTGACTATGGAGATTTATAATTTTTGTATCATTTTACTAAGTTACATTTAACTTGTTTTGTCATTTCTTGTTAATTTATTGGGTCAATAAAAGAAATGGGATAAGTCATCAGTGAGTGTACATGATGTCTTTGATGATTTTTGAGATTTGTTCATTTTTTCCCTTTATCATGTTGTCAGCACGTGAGCCTTGGTTGGCAGCAATGAAATATGTCAGAGATTCCAGGGAGTTTATTACGATGTTGTAATACTGAAGGGTATCTAATAAAATATCATAAATAACAATGTATATTCATTGATTTGTTTATTAAAATATCCTACATTCCTTTATAATAGCAATTTGCATTGCTATAATCGGTTAAATGTATGAAAGTATAATGTCGTAGTAAGAAAAAATTGAAAGTACCATGCTGTTTTAATTTTTCAAGTATATTTTTCAAAGTACAATGCCTTAATTATTAGGAACAAACTGGAAGTGTAATGTTATAATAGAAAGAAGTTGAAGTATAATGATAAGATGCATATATACAAAATTTGTTTGTGTGTGTTTATGTGTTTTGCATATCAAGTGTTATATATGCATCTAAGATAACAACTACCGTCATAAATATTCATTTCTTTCCTACAAGTTACATAATTGATCAACTCTAAATATATTTAATCTTTCATTTTTGTCTAAATGTAGGTTTCAGAGGTCACACACAATCATTAAAGCTAATTTCATAAGGAATGGCTTCTTATTGGAGCTTATATATATATATATATATATATATATATATATATATATATATATATATATATATATATATATATATATATATTTATATAAGGTATATTTTTAAAACATTGCAAGGTTTAGAAGATTAAACTTTTAAATTTAATTAAATTTAAACCATTTTATGGATTTATTGATTAATTTTTAATGTTAGATCATATCTTTAGAAAAATACAAAGGTCAATACATATCAAGGGAAGGTAATCGGGCAACAAGTTGCGCCACTAGTCCTTTCCGGGTGGCAAAACCAAGATAAGGATATCTAATTACTTAGATAATTGTTTAGTTTTGCATAATTAAAATATTATTTAAGGTACTTGTCCTAACCAATTCATGAGATTAATCAAAAACCAATTTTTTTTTATGGATCTGATCGTCCACCACGTCGTGGTAAGCAATTACCACGCCGTGGTCGAACGGAAAGAACACAAATTTGCAGATCACCACGTCGTGGTGTCGGAACCGAATGATGATTTTATTTCCCTCCTTGTTCAAGTTCAAGCAATGTACAATCAATTATTAGACAATCTACGCTCTGATACCACTAATGAATTTTACATGTATTAACGCAGATAAATCCTTAAACTCTTAAGGGTACATGCAATCTAAAGATCTATGTCATAACACTATTGATGTAACATTCTATTGAACAAAAAGAGCCATATGAACCCTATGCTAATTTAGAAAAATCACAAACAATTTAGGGTTTACATACCTTTTAGTTATTGTAAACTTCTTGAAGATCTCTTGGAAGCAAACACCACAAGTGTCGTGCCTCTAATGGTTCTCACTCAGACCCTTGCAACCAAGGAACTTAAAGAGAGAGAGAGATTCCAGTTAATCTAATGGTTCTACTTTTAATTAATCCAATTAATCTCAAAATTAATTCCAGTTAATTTCTAATTAATTATTAATTAAATATTACTATTTTGATTTCTAATTAATTTATTATCATATAATAAATTAGTAAATCAGTCTCTCTCTCTCTCTCTCTCTCTCTAAAAGTTATTATATTCAATTACCATGTTTGAAGGCAACCGAAAAAAACTGTGCTACCATCAATTCAAGTTTATACCAATTATAGTTATGGGCTTAGACACCCAATCCAACAGTTTGGGACTTGTTGGATCACGCCATTTGCAACGTGACACGAGTGGTGTCACGAAGAAAATGGTGGTGCATCCCAAACCCATGATTTTAGGGGTTATCCTGTATTTAAAGGCATTATCTCCAAGATTTATGTCATTTGTAGCCACTATCACATCAGAGAGCCTCCGTAGAGTTTAACCTACCTTCCATATTGTCCATCCTCCATTTCTTGCAAGTTTTGATGATCTTGGAGATTTGTTTTGAAGATTGAAGAAGATGAAGAATCACTTGTTGCTAGAGAGTTGTCTTCCATGGAGTTCTTTTTCATCCAAACAACTTATAAACCTTGGTATGATGCAAAGCTCCCACATTTGTTTATTTTATGCTAGATATAGGTTTTGGATTGTTTTGTAGTGTCATCCTTATCCTTTTAATGGTGTTCTTGGAGCTTGGAGAACTTTATAACCATATGAGCGGATTAAACAACTTATGGACTTGTTTAGTATTGGCAAATGGTAGTACATGCTTATTCTTAGACCACATATTAAGTTTTGGCTTTATAAGTGGACGATTGGAATTAGGGCTTGAGATTTAGAGTTAATAAGCACTTGGGATGGATAAAGTTGGAAACTTCATCCATTAATTCGTTGTGGAGTATCATATTTGAGAATTAGAACTTAAGTAAAGGATTAAGAGCTTAATAAGTTGAGTTGTCCGGAAGAAAATCACGATGCAACTTGTTGATGGTCACGGTATGATTATAGGTGAATTCCCGACTATTTTTTCATTTAGTATTTCACGGAACGAATCGTCAAGGTTCACGGCGTGGTTGACCATTTGACCTTTGACTTTAACCGTTGACTTTTGACTTTTTGACCAGTTTGACTTTTGGGTCAAACTAAAGAATCTGAACTATAAACTGATGTTTAGCTTTTGATTGGTTCAACTATGGGATTTAGGTGAGTCTTCTCACTATATCATAAGACACTAGTTGTCATTGTATGTTTGTTGTCTTCGTGACTCTTACTAGTATGATGACATGCTTGTTGGGTAGGGCCGACATATATGTTTGTTGGGTTAGGCTCGTTGTGCTAGGCCTACTTATATGTATGTTGGGTTGGACCCTTTGGATTGGACCCGCTTACATGCTTGTTGTGTTAGGCTCGTTATGATATAGTATGTGGTATCTTTGGAAATTCGTTGAACTTTGTGCTTATGGTTTTAAATTGTTTCAGGTGTTTCTGGTTGCAATGGAAAGGATGCGGCGTGATTCACTGCATCTGTTTTTATGTTTTAGAGATTTTCTGCACTCTTGATTTTATAACTCTAATTTAATGATGCTTGAAGCCAATGGTTAATTACTCTCTTTAGAATAAAATTAATACGGTTTTCCTTTAAATTTTAAAATGAAAACTTTGGGTTAAAATTTTAGACGTTATACATTTGGTCTGCCAAGCGACAACCTACTCTATCTCGCTCGAGTGTCGAAGTAGAATATCATGGTGTTGCTAACGTGATTGCTAAAGCCTGTTGGTTGCAAAAATTTGCTTCTTGAACTTCACACACCGTTAAAAGACTTCTACTTCATTTATTTTGATAACATTTTTGTAGGCTACCTTTTCAGCAATCCGGTTCAACATCAACGCACAAAACATATTGAAATGTACATATAATTTGTCTATGATAAGGTCACTCTTGGATGTATTCAGGTTTTTCATGTCCTTAGTGCTTACTAATATGTTAATATCTTCACTAAAGGATGAACATATAGTTGCTTTTAGACTTTAGATCCAATGAACATTCCTCCTCCTCCTCCTCATGTATGGTATGAAAAGCACATTATATTTTAATGACAATCAAATTCACTTTGTATTAATTAAGAAAAGATATAAACAAATTATGTGTTACATGTGAAAGACATTATGTGTGGATTTGTTTGGCCTACATTTACATATTTATTAATTTGTTCGCTTTTTTAGTAATCATTAATCACATGTAATTAGAAAAGGTGATGAGAAAACGAAGTGTGGTGTTTGACCAAAAGACCGTGTGAATGGCGTTTAGAATAAAGAAAGCAAACGCCGGTGAGTCGTGGGTATGTATGTTGACTTCACGTAGTTTGCATAATTATCGTCTACCTGATCATTCATATTTAAAGCATGTGCTATTTATTATTATTATTATTATTATTATTATTATTATATAACTTAGGTATTTATTATTATTATTATTATTATTATTATTATATAACTTAAGTATTTGTTTTTACATGACTGATTCACTAATATAGGTGGATTTAGGTGGTTACTCGGATAGCTCGAAATGTCTTTAAAAATAATTTCAGTAATGTATATATATATTTTTTTTCAATAAGTTTAAATAAAAACAGTAAATAATGTAAGAACGTAAAAACACTATATTTATATTATTATTTTGCGATGAATGTTGTATATTCGTATTTTTAAAGTAATTCTAATATAAATATTAATATTTGATTATTCATATATTCATTAGAATGTTATTATTCTATTAATTAATTTATGTATGTACATTTTATAGTAAATTCTAATTTTTGTTTTAACCAGTGATTATTCATTTATTCATTAGAAAATAATGATATAAAGTTATGGATGCACAATTTATTGCAGAGTAATAATATAAAAATGTTGTTTTTATATTTTCATACAATTTATAGTTTTTATTTGAACTATATATATATATATATATATATATATATATATATATATATATATATATATATATATATATATATATATATAGTCTTCTTATGTTCTAATTCAACTCTTATCGACTTTTTTTTAAAACATTGTGTATCGTTACATCTTCAAAATTTGAGGTGATACAACTAGTAAGAGATTATATTATCAACTAGTTTATAACCCGTGAGAAACACGGTTATAAAATTAATTAAAATTTCATATTAAAAAAAATAAATTATTAATCAATTATTTTAAAAAAACTATTACTTAAGATATATTTTTTTTGTTATATAAAGTTATAATTGTTGATTTAAATAAATACTTGAAGTTATATCACCTTATAATCTGTATTTATTTTATCTTATTTTTCAATCAAGTGTTATGAATTTAATATAATTCAAGTAGAAAATTGAAAAATTAAAAATTTAAAATGGATAATCAATTTAATTAGTGTAATTATAGTGGAAATTTAAAATTTAAAATTTAAATTGAATAATTAATAGGTTGGTAAATAGAATAATTAGTGATATATAACATTAATTAGGAGCTCTAGTTATGTGACACTTGTCAATAGGAGATTAAACTTATTCTTTTATTAGAATATGGATTACCGTTTTTTAATAAAAACAACTCAAATTGGTTTATTTATAAATCCATTTATCCCAAGCAAATCAAAACTTTTCCATCTAAAACGGACTTTTTTTAACAATAGTAATATTTATAAAAAAAAATATAAAAAATAAAGACTAGCTAGAAGCTAACCAAAACCAAAAGTACAATTTAAGGCATTATTGGGTTTTGCATCGAATCTACATGATGCATTCCGACCTTAGAGCTTCTAAACACAAACCAACATAAGGAATTATCAATAATACAATAAAAAAATGTTTCTTAAGTCTAGACTTCCGAAATAATAACAACGCAATTTGTTGTCTGTTAACTACTATGTCTATGTAAAAGATTTATCTTTTCAAATTGATTTGATTAATAATCAAACTATCTCTGTTGCGGAAACGAAGTTTTTTCCTAATGATATCTTATTTTTCAAAAACTAAACTTTAAGTTTAAACTAAAAAAAAAGTCTAAAATTCGCATGTCAAACATATTCTAGAGCTTAATCAAAATATTTAATTATTATTAATGTCAATTAGACATTGGGATATTAACAAATTAACCATATTTTGAATTAATATTAAAGGAAATAACTCAAAAATACATTTTTTTGAAAAATAAACAACAAGACCGGAATTGGTTATTCCGCGAGGACCAAAAGGTATTTTTTTTCTCACAAAAAATACATTTCGGACTGACATTCTGTATCACATAACTTTCGAAATCCGATGTAAAACTCTGGAACTTTCGAGAAAAAATACTTCGTTTTTACTAAAATATAACATAAAGTTAAAGAAACATAGCAACATGGAAAGAATATGCGATACAATGATTTAAAATTAAATATTTTATTGAAAAATAATGATATTAGATAGTTCATAATGAAATTTTAAACATTACTAAAAAGAGTTATTAAAAAAAAGAGTTAGAATCTCTAAAACAAGTTTGGAATTGAGCATCATAGAGAAAAATTTTATTCAAAAGCTAAAAATATATTGTTTTTTTAATATGTCTGTCTATGATGTTAGTTTACTTAATATCCTTAAAATATTTCAGAGGGTGGAAAAAGAATAGTTTTTTTATTAATAATTAGGTGTAAGCCCTGTGTATTACATGAGTTTATTAAAGTTAAAAGTTTTATATCAAAGTGTAAACATTAAATATTTTTAATGTCTACTTCATCTCAAAGTTTAACAATATATTTCATTATATTTCTCAATTTTGACAATATTGTTTTATAATATTTTATTATTTTAATTTATGTAACAAAAAAATCATAACAAATGTTTTAATGGTAAAAAACAAACTATTTATTATTATATTCATTTTATGGAGAAATATATATATATATATATATATATATATATATATATATATATATATATATATATATATATATATATATATATATATATATATATATATAAAAGTTTATTCAAACACTTTTTACCACCACTATAACCAAATAAACATTTTTATCTAAAAACATTGTTAGAGTTCAAAAAACACTTCTAAATACCCCTAAATATTAAAATAACTAAAACATATCGTTTATAAAAGTCCTTGATTGATTGATTATATAAATCAAATAATAGAGGTACAGTTGAATTGATTTTTAAATAATGTAATAAATAAAATACTGTTTTTGGTGGACTTAATTTTTTTAGTTTTCATTTATTTTTTTTGGGATAAAATAACATACTTATTAAAATACGCGTACATAGTGTTCATTGTCTAAGTCTATATATATAACTAATTAACCAAAGTCTTCTCTCTATCTCTATCTCCATCTCTCTCTTCCAACGGAGCTGCCATTCCACCGCTTCACTCGGCCACTTCGAATCTCTCAGAGGTTTACAATCTAAAAGACGACCCTCAGATCTCCAGTTTTCGGTACGTATTGGATTCAGCTCATAGCAATTCAAATATATAGGCATGCATGTTATATATATATATATTAGAGATTGGAATTGAAATGAAGTTGAAATATATATCGCTGCTGCATTTCTGTTTTTGACTCCTATTTTCCGAGTTACAATAATCACTTGTAGTCTTGGAAATTCTTAGAAAAGTATGTATAAATACTTGTATTATTTCTGTTTTAGTATTTTGTTTCTGATTTTTTTTACTTCGGTCCACTGAAGAAACAAAGGAGATATTGTCTGTTGATGTTTTTATCTAGAGTTTCTCTTCTTCACCGCTTTGAAGATTTTCTCACTAATTTTAAAGAGTGCTTTTGGATTTATTTAAATTCACGTAATCATATAATATAGAATCACCATTTGTCTGTTGTTTACCTTTGATGATCCTCCTAAACCAATTATTTCTTCGAGATCAAGTCCTTATCTGTTTGAACACATTCTTTAAACATCTAAAAGTAATAAGACAAACTCATTATAACTTGATAGAAGTTTGACCACAAAAGTGGGAGATAAAATATGTGGGCCAAGCATGAGTTCCCCCTTTATGCAAGTTTCTATCATGTATACAAAGCAAAAGCTATCTTTTGAGGCTTCAGAATCCGAGATAAAATTTGATTTTTAAACCCTACTTTTTATCGGATGCTTTTTCCCAAGTTATATTTTACAAGTTCAAATAGTTTTTCTTGCTGAAAACACATCAAGTTATATTTGATCTTTAAACCCTATATTGTATAAGATGATAAGAAACAAGTAGGACTAGAAATTATAAATCTAAGTTATCTTTATATCTATTTCAGGCACCTCAACGTAACCTTATATCCATGGCATCGTATCTCCATGAAACCGTGCTTCAAGACAACATTAACAAAAACAATGACGAATTCTCTCTTGAGAAATGGAATCACTCATCTAATTCCACCGATAAATCACAAAATGCATTGTCAGATCATTTCGATTGTAATATTTGTTTAGACACGGTTCAAGATCCGGTGGTCACACTTTGTGTACATCTCTATTGTTGGCCATGTATCTACAAATGGATTGATCTTTCACACAAAGTAAATCCATTATGCCCCATATGTAAAACTGAAATATCTGAAAAAACCTTAATTCCATTATACGTCCCTACCTCAACCGCAAAACCTAATTCTCAAGAAAACATAGTCCAGATCCCACGTAGGCCTTCTATGCCTAGTTGTGGGGTCCATGTCATGCCATGTCAACAACATAATTTTCATGGCTTTCAACAAGAAGCACCCGATGTAACTTTACCAACAGGCCCGATATCCGGAATGTTTGGGGAAATTGTGTACGATGGGGGTTTTGGGAATTCGAGAGATCTTTTGTTTGGGTATGGAGATTCGTATGGTTTAGCCGGGCTTAGTACAAGACGGGCAAGAAGGCAAATAGCTCGAGATGAGAGGTCGCTTGGCCGAATTTGTTTTTTCTTGTTATGTTGTGTAATGTTGTGTCTTCTCTTATTTTGATTATTTCATTACATGAAATATTGTATCTAGAAAGTTAAAATTTTGTTATGTGCTCATTCACGATATACACCTTAATACCATATATGTGATTCTCAATTATAGGTCATTTGCACATTTGTGACCATCGTTCTCCCAAATTTGTGACAAAATTATGCAAATTTTTAATAGGATTAATGAAACAACTCAAATTTTCAATTAAATTTTTCATTTAAAATAAAACATCATTATTCGACAAAAGAGTTTATTCCAAGTTTATTGCAAAAATATGAATAACGAATCCTCAAGATCTTCAACAATGGCAGTGTGTACGTGTCACGCCGGCGCCTTCCCACGGTCATCACTAGTACCTGAAAAACATAACACAACTAGTAAGCATAAATGCTTAGTGAGTTCCCCAGTATACAACTTCCCCACATACGCCTTCCGGCCCGGACCTTTCGGTCCACATAACATTGCCTTCCGGCCCGTAACATAATCGCCTTCCGGCCCATAACATATCGCCTTCCGGCCCATAGTATTTTGCCTTCCGGCCCATAATAGTATAAAACATAACACATATAACATATCACACATAACACATAAGTCATACATCATACCGTTCTTTCTATCACATAAGGTCTCGCCTTCCGGCCCGTATAAGCATACATCACATATAAAGCATCTACCTCTCTAGACATAGCATAAAAATAACACATACGACCTTCCGGTCACGCAGTCAAACCCTTCCGGGTGAAGTATAGTGAGAAGACTCACCTCGTAGTATGCAAGCTATAAACCCTTCGAGCCACTCGCACTCGATTCGCTAATCTGCAGGCTCCCTATAATACCACATACCTTTATTAATGATCTTATCAAACAAGACAACTGACCCTACTAAATTACATACAGGTCAACGGTCAACTTGACCGGACTCGTCGAGTGCAAAGGCAACTCGGCGAGTCTAGACACCCCGACTCCACTCGCCGAGTCTAAAGAACGACTCGACGAGTCCCAGTAAGTCTTCAAGCTACTCGCCGAGTCCGAAGAACAACTCGGCGAGTCCTAGTGAATCTTCAATCTACTCGCCGAGTCTGATCATTGGACTCGGCGAGTCCTCGCCATGCAGTCAAACAACTGCCTCCTGTAATTCGCATGATTCCGTAATATATAAATATGGGGCTTCCTGGACCTTTACACATTCTATTACTGGGATTTAAACACTTATAACAACACTATAATCTATCAAATCCTTAAATGGGTTTCCTAAACCCTAGATTCGTGTACAACACCAAAACTACAGAAATGATCCGAGGATTACCTGGAAAACGTGTTCCCTGTGTCCCCAACCTTCAGAGCTCGACCCCTTGATCCTCCTTTGATCACCACCTTGCCTCTCCTTGCCTAACAACCTCTTCAAGCTTCCACTAGCCTTCACCCTTGTTCCAGACGCCCACAGACTTTTTGGTTATCTTCAATCGGCCAAAAGACGAGACATGACGGCCCTAAAGGCATTATATACGATCCAGAATCAAAACGGCTAGGGTTTCAGCTGAACAGCGTCGACTCGCCGAGTCCCTAATGGACTCGTCGAGTCCAGTCGCGAATCTGTGACCAAGACCGTGGTCCTACTCGGCGAGTCAGGCACCAACTCGCCGAGTCCCCTCCTAAATATGCCCCAAAAATAATTTAAAGAAATACCTGAAATTCCGGGCTGTTACAACTCTCCCCCACTAGAACTAGACTTCGCCCTCGAAGTCTCACTCTGTGAATAACTCCGGATGTTGCTCCCGCATTTCACTCTCCGGCTCCCAAGTCATATCCGATCCCTTCCGATGTTGCCACTGAACCAACACCAGAGGTATCTCCTTGTTCCGTAGAACCTTGATCTTCCGATCCCTGATAGCTACTGGTCTCTCGGCGTAATTCAGGCTTGCATCCACCTGAATATCCTCTAACGGAACCACTGCCGCTTCATCGGCTATACACTTCCTCAACTGTGATACGTGAAAGGTATTGTGAATCTGACTCAGCTCCGCTGGCAACTCCAACCGATAAGCTACCCGACCTACCCTTGCAATTACCCGAAATGGACCTATGAACCGGGCCCCAATTTGCCCCTCTTTCTGAACCGAATCACTCCTTTCCAAGGAGAAACCTTTAGGAGAACGAAGTCGCCAACCTGGAATTCGAGCTCGGACCGGCGCCTGTCCGCATAACTCTTCTGTCGGCTCTGGGCGGTCAATAACCTCTGCCTCACCTGTTGAATCTGTTCGGTCGTCTGAAGTACGATCTCTGTACTGCCCATCACTCTCTGTCCCACTTCTCCCCAGCAAATGGGAGTCCGACACCTCCTACCATACAACAACTCAAAAGGTGGCATACCAATGCTCGAATGATGGCTGTTGTTGTAGGAAAACTCAGCCAACGGCAGATGCGCATCCCAGCTACCCCCGAAGTCTAACACACACGCTCTAAGCATGTCTTCCAATGTCTGAATCGTCCGCTCGCTCTGACCGTCGGTCTGGGGATGGTATGCGGTACTAAAATGCAGTTTAGTACCCAACTCCTCATGGAATTTCTTCCAGAACCTGGAAGTGAAACGTACATCGCGGTCCGAAACAATCGAGGTCGGCACTCCATGCCGAGATACTATCTCTCTCACGTATAACTCTGCCAACTTCTCTGCTGATGAACTTTCGCTAATGGCAAGGAAGTGTGCACTCTTTGTTAGCCTATCCACAATCACCCAAATCGCATCGACTCCCCTGGCAGTTCTCGGCAATTTGGTGATGAAATCCATCGTGATCTGTTCCCACTTCCACTCAGGAATCTCCAAGGGTTGCAACTTACCGTGCGGTCTCTGGTGCTCGGCCTTAACCCTACGGCAGGTCAAACACCTCTCAACGAACCAGGCGACGTCTCTCTTCATGCAAGGCCACCAGTACTCCTTTCTCAAATCCAAATACATTTTCGTAGCACCGGGATGGATCGAGAATTTCGATCTGTGTGCCTCCTCCATCAAAGTAACACGCGTACCGCCCACGAATGGTACCCAGATCCGACCCTGAAACGTCAGAAGTCTCCGTCCATCCATAACGAACTCTGAAATCAACCCGACGACCCGCTCCTGTTTCTGCATCCCAGATTTCACAACCTCGGCCTGTGCCCCACGAATAGCATCTAATACCGGAGTCATCACCGTCAATCTCAAACATACGTCCCGCAATGGAGTGCTCTCCGTCCTACGACTCAATGCGTCGGCTACCACATTAGCCTTGCCTGGGTGGTACAGGATCTCACAGTCATAATCCTTAACCACATCTAACCATCTCCTCTGACGCATATTTAGGTTGGGTTGATCCATCAAATACTTTAAACTCTTATGGTCCGTGTATATGGTACAACGAACCCCGTACAGGTAGTGACGCCAAATTTTGAGGGCGAACACTACCGCCCCCAACTCTAAGTCATGCGTGGGATACCTCGCCTCGTGAGGCTTCAGCTGCCTCGATGCATAGGCTATCACATGGCCCCTCTGCATCAACACTGCACCCAGCCCGAAATCGATGCGTCGCAATATACGACAAAGTCCTCCATCCCTTCCGGGAGAGCTAATACTGGGGCTTCGCACAGTCTCTGACGAAGTGTCTCGAAGGAAGTCTGCTGCTCGGGTCCCCATGAAAATGTAACACCCTTCCGGGTCAATCTGGTGAGCGGCACCGCGATCTTGGAGAAGTCCCTAATGAACCTCCGATAGTACCCCGCCAACCCAAGGAAACTCCTGATCTCAGAAGGTGACTTCGGTGCCCCCAACTCATCACTGCTTCCACCTTGGCCGGATCAACCAATATCCCTGCCTGATTTACAACGTGCCCCAGAAATTGGACCTCCCGTAACCAGAAGTCACATTTGGAGAATTTTGCATATAGCTTCTCCGACCTCAGTACCTCAAGACCTCCCTCAAATGCCCTCATGCTGCTCTCTAGACCGCGAATACACCAGAATATCGTCGATAAATACAATCACAGACCGATCCAGCATCGGCCTGCATACCCTGTTCATGAGGTCCATGAACACTGCTGGGCATTGGTGAGCCCAAAAGGCATCACCACGAACTCGTAATGCCCATACCGCGTCCTAAATGCTGTCTTCTGGACGTCCTCATCCCGCACTCTTACCTGATGGTACCCTGATCTCAAATCAATCTTGGAAAACCAAGATGCCCCTTGCAACTGATCGAATAGATCATCGATCCTCGGTAACGGATAGCGGTTCTTGACCGTCACCTTGTTCAGCTCCCGGTAATCGATACACATCCGGTGTGAACCATCCTTCTTCTTGACGAACAGAATCGGTGCTCCCCACGGCGAGCTACTCGGCCGAATAAATCCCTTTCCCAACAACTCCTGAAGTTGCGAGGACAACTCTTGCATCTCTGGAGGTGCAAGACGATAAGGCACCTTCGCAATAGGCGCAGCCCCTGGAACTAGATCGATACCAAACTCTACTTGCCTCGCAGGAGGTACTCCCGGCAAATCCTCGGGAAAAACATCTGGAAACTCGCGCACCACTGGAACCTCCTCCACTGTCTTCGGCCTCTCGGAAGTCTCCCGCGTATCCATCACATACGCCACAAAACCGTTACATCCCGCTGTATGCATTGCCTCGCCCTAGCGGCCGAACAAAAAGCTGATCCCGAACGGGTACCCTCGCCGTATACCGTAAGAACTCCCCCACTAGGGTCTCGTATAGTCACCAGCTGACGCTCGCAGTCGATGACAGCGCTGAATCGGCTCAACCAGTCCATGCCTACGATGACACAGACGTCCCCCATCGCAATAGGAACTAGGTCAATCGGGAACGCGACCCCGAAGATCTCTAGCACACATCCCCGAAGAACCTCCGTAGCACAAACCACCCTCTCGGCCGCAATAGAAACACTCAAAGGTCGACTTAACGGCTCACGACTAGTGCCGATATGCTGACTAAAGGCTAACGATACAAACGATCTACTCGCACCCGAATCAAATAACACTAGAGCAGGCATAGAGTTCACAAGAAAAGTACCTACACATACATTAACATAAGC